ATACGTTATGATGTGGTTGTTTTACCTTTTTTCAGTCAATATTATCCTCACCGTTTACTCCTTCTATCAATTTTAGAAGTGAAGCTACAGTGGTGTGGTCGGAACTCTGGGACAGTCACAAGGTTTCGCTTTGGGGATGAGGAAGCAACAGGGATCCACCTATGTCATACAATCTGAGTTTCTCTCCATCATTCTCATTCTACAATCAACTTTTCCAATCAAAAGAAGATCCTTCACTTCCCTCTCAGAAGGTCCTACATGGTAATACATGTTTGTTTTCTCTTTCTTTTGAATCGAAACATGTGTTATCTCTTTCTTGTGAATCGAAATTACGTAAGAAACTAGGTGCCTGCCCTTTGAAATGGCCATTTACTAGATATCAATCCTCATCTCCCCTTCTTTTTTTGATGAAAGCTATTTTTGAAAAAATGTTTTACTAACTTCTACGACAGAAGGCATTGGGTCTAGCAGCCTGTTTCATATTCCATAGACTAAAAATGAGACTTAGACCAAGACTTTCCACTTTGAGACAAGTCAATGTCTAGAAACCTCTTTTCTTTAGGGAAATAGGGAATTGGGCTAGCAATCACATAGTCATAGTGTGTACTATGGAGTATTATCTATATATTTTACTATACCTGACACAATGCAATTCCTGTGTGTGTTGGTTTGAGGAAATTGCGTTCTACGATAGAGGAAATGGAGAAAGAAAACATAGAACCAAAACCAAGGACTATTCAAGGAGAGGTTAAATATTGTTTGTGGTTTTCTTAAGTCTCAATATGCTTATATTCATCTGAAATTGTACTCAATACTTTAGCCCTAAATGTCAAGTAACTGCTTCCAGAAGGCCAAAAAAAATACTGCCTTTGAGGTTGATTTAGATTTTGAGCACAATATGAGACTGGCACCGGTGATTACAGAGGAAGTTACTTTGTCCCTAGAAGAATTGAGCCGCAAAGGGATTGTTGAGGTGATTGCCCTTGCAAATTTTGTGTATTTTATGCTATAATGTCAGTAATCTCTTAACATTGTATGTAGGATTTGTTCTTTAGAGATATTTGATATTCACCTTTGTTTTATATTTTTTTCCTTTACAAAATTGTGCTTTTATACTTAATTTGTCAAGAAATTTGAGTCTTATATGCACCTTTTTACTCTCTCTGTCCTATATTAAGGTTCCCATTTGAATATGGCACAAAGTTTAAGATATTTTTTTAATGACAAAGGTGGGGTATGCTCTGCTATGTGGTGGTCCATGTGACTTAAATTTAAAAGCAGTAGTGCATGATATAAGACTAAGACAATATTTTCCTTTTTAAGACATGTGAAGTTTTTTTTTTGGTTGGCCCAAATAAGGAAGTGAGAAGTTTATTTTGGAACCAACAATTATATAACAAGATTAAACTTGGTGTGATAAATGGTACTCCTATTATATGTTGTTTGATTTTTTTAGGTTGTTATTTTATAAAATGTATTGACAGGTTGATGAGGAGCCAAGTATTGGTGAAAATGCATTTGTGTGGCTAGCAACGCTTATACTGGTGGTAGCGGAATGTCGTGAACGCTCGCTTTACTTTCGAGACTCTTACAGCTTCTTCTGGCAGTACACTCCACTATCCTGCCTTCAATGTGTTCTTGAAACAGATTGACAAGTAATTATTATTTTGAAAACTGTACTGCTTATTTGACTCCAAATAAAATGAAAGTGTTGTTTTTTTGTGTACAATAACTACATCATATTTCTCTTGTGTTTCCTTATGATGCTTAAGGCATTTGCAGAAGCAAGCCAAACCAACCGGCATATAACTCGCGGATAATGAGTTTATACTGCACGTGGAAGGAACCGCGACATCGCATAGAGTTGTGCGCCATATTGGAGGAACAAGTTGGCCTGGCATGCCTCCCGCCTTTGATCTTCTCTATTATTGATGCAATTTTACTCTCATTTCCATTGTAAGGACAATCATTTTCAAGAAGGTTACACAGGACCACGCACACATTTTCTAGGTAGGTTGACATTGACAAACTATGCTCTCT